GGGGGGGGGGGGGGGGGGGGGGGGGGGGGGGGGGGGGGGGGGGGGGGGGGGGGGGGGGGGGGGGGTAAAAATACTCCTAGTTGTTTCATGCTACAGAAACAGTACATAAGTGCTGGCTTGATGGGCCACTTGGCTCATATGCAGACTTTGCCTTCACCAGAGATTATATCTTCAGATACCATAGTTATCAGAAAACGATTGCATAAGTATACTTGTTAGTTACCTGATACTTGCGTGATTGAGATGTTTCTCTGTTAGAATGTGAATTTGACTGCTTGGCAGGAACTGTTTGTACCACTCTGTTTTCTTGTCTGACTTTTCCACTTGACTCAGTTTGTAGAACAGGTTTGTGTCTTTCAGTTTGAACCAAACAGTCACTGGTCATAGTTTGAGTTCTCTGTCGATTTCTTGTGTTCTCACTTCCACTTGAATTTTCTTCTGAGAGTAAGGATTAAAACCAAGCAAAAATATTAGTCCTTGAAATGTTAATAAAAATCACTTCACAGTTAAACTGCAAATAAAGTTCTTCTCAGTTTGGTTTCATCAGTAACCACTAAATGATAACTTCAGGAATATGGTATTAAATAAATAAATAATGACTTTATTGAAGAGCACAATTACTGGTAAAACCAGTAGTTCTCATTGTGGTCCTTAAAATCTACCCAACAGCCACAAAAATGTTACAAATTCAAATAGAAAAATACAAAGAAAATATGCAATTGAAAATTCATTAAAACTTTGTACTAATACTAAAGTTGTCAATTCTAGAATTCCGATCTTTGTATTTCTTGTATATTATATTTCTAAATATACAAAGGAGAATGAGGCCTGTCGTAGTACTATCTTATTATTGAGCAAAAGACTTCATGTCACTTTTCACGCACATGTCATGTTGATCAATTCACCTTTCATATTTCATTACCAAGCTTAAAATTCACCATCTTTATTCACTTATCACTACTCATGATGACTTTAACGGTGCTGATCCTGGCAGTATGCAGGATGCCTGTCACATATGAACTCAGTTAAATGACCTTGTTCTCCATGAGTTCTCACAGCTCATCAGTGCACAGAGTGCCTGCGCAGTGTTTGGGAGGTCATGGATTCTATTCCTGTCAGGGACTTACCTTTTTTCTTTGTCTCACGCTTGTGTCATGTTGATCAATTCACCTTTCACAATCATTTTTTTGGTCACAAAGTATTTAAAATTCAGGTAATAGCAGTAACTTTGAAGCAATCCTATCTCAGAATGTTCACTTTTTTTAGCTTTGTTGCAGTATCATAACCCAGCACTTTTAAATACCCTTCTGGTATATTTATAGGACCATCTGTCTAACAAGTGAGTTTTCCCCTCAATACTAAGCGTATATCATTTCATTTTTCATTTATTTCTGTACTACTGGTTACATATGCCTTCACCATGGTTTTTGAACATACCAACAGATTTTCTTTTGACACATCTCTTTTGAACGTCTGAGGCCACACCAACATTGTCTGCTGTTCTCTGTACTTGGCTATTGACAGAACTTAAAATGTGAAAAACAAGTGTGGGGAGATAATTTTCATGTTGAAAGAAATATCTTATAATGATGTTGTTACATAAAAGCTGAACATGTAACACTGACAATGCTGCTAATTGAAGTTACCTTTGCTTATACATTTTTTGTAGCTGTCCCTGCACTTCAGCAAAGTAATCTAAAGACATGAAAGGCATACATCTGAAACTTTCAGATCTAGAGCTCTTTAAATGTTTACTTTTGGATGGCACAGGCATACCATAACACATTATCATATGACCCGTAGGGCCCATTGCCTTATTTCCTTGAAAAATCACAAGAAAAAAGGTATCATATGAGGGCTGTTGGCATTAAGGTGATACTTAAAAGGCAAATTTAGTGCTGTTGATTTGACAGCAATAAATTTGGCTTATTTTTGGGAAAGATTTTACAAGTAATGTTAAATTTGGAAAAAAAATTTGTGAAGATTTAACCACAAAATTATACAAACCAAAAATTATTTCAGGGGAAAAGATTAAATGATAAATGATAAATAATATTTATAGAGATGAAAGTTTTTCATACTATTTATATGAAAGTTCTCTCCAGAATACCTCATCCAAGAATAGTGTAGAAACCAAGTTAAAAGATTTAATAAGTGTAACAGGTTTCAAGATGAGTTTTTAAGGTAGGGTTTCAAATAGGATAATCTATTAGGTCAATTCACACTGCAACCACCAAGTCATTATAAATTTCCTATTAATTTGTCAGGTCATGTAGCTGATCTTGTTGGGTTTTACCTGAGACCCTTCAGTTATTTGGAACACGACATGTTAGTGACTTACTTCTTCCATGAAAGGTTTCTGAGGGTTTCAAAGATCCAGTCAATGTTTCTGATATCTCTTGCAATGGTGTCTAATGGTATAAGAGAACAATGTTTTTGCATAATCTGTTTTAAAAAACTTTGTCAAGTAGAAAAGGTACAGTACACCACTTCGAGACAACTGACATGAGGAGTAGATCTATGCACATGATTGTGACTGAAATTTCCATAAAATACTGAGTTGTCAGGTATTGGCCTGACAATATTTTTGCATAATTCATCACAAACTAGGTGTTGGTAAACTGGTGGTGTTGTGTACATATAGTTAATGTGAACCTTCTACTGATGATTTCCAACAGATAAAAAGTACCGGTAGCTTATCACTGGCTAAAACTTAACTAGAAAAGAAACCTTGAGGTAACATTTGAAGGTGCCTTGGCCACAAAAGCCTTCTGGGCTTTTCATTGAGCCTGTTTAATATATATACTCAGTGACATCCATTGGACTCAGTAGGATTTAGTGTTGCTGTGTGGAGTTCACATCACCAAGACTCTTAACATAAAACATAAACTTTGATAAGCTAGGAAATAGCGGCCGTAACAAAGTGAGATCATAATTATGCATTAATAAAATGCTATTGGCAATCCATTAACACTCATTGTCCAATAAGCCCACCTTGAAAGCAAGCCTAGCTTCATTTTGAGGTGTGATTCTTTGTGGAGTAATCCTTCGAAGTGGTGTAACTTTATTCTTGTCAGGGTTGCTGTACCTTCCAGATGAACTACAAGTCGAGCTTTAAAACATTTTTGCCCAGTAAATACCTAATTTCAGCTAGGATAGAAATAATTTACAAATGGTCCCCATATATTATAGTGAAAAAATTTCCAAAATACACCCGTCAAAGGAGGGTATTGATTTTGTGGGAGTGGTTTCAATGGAAGGAGTTTGCTAATTATCAAATCAATTGCCAGATAAGTAATGGCCCTGAAGGGATGATAATTCCCAAGTTGCTATCAATTGGTTAGTTCAGCAGTTTCCTGAGATTTTAGCAGTCAATTTTATTGACTATTTTCATATTACCTGTGTGTTCTACTACTTCCAACAGGGCTCTGTATTCTAAAAGAGAAGAAAGAAAATTAACTGTGAATTATCACAAGCTACAATCAGAACACTTTTAAAAAACTACAGCTTGGAGTACAAATGATAAAACTTACAGGAAGATTGCATCTCCAGACTTGTTCTGGACTGGAGAATCTGTGAATGAACAAGAAAGCACAGAGTAATCATGATTGTGTGGATCATTAACAGATCTTTTTACGCAGACCAACAAACAATGCAATCTATCCTGATTCAAAGAGAAAAACCCCAGGTTTTAAAATGCTGAAACAGAAAGAATCAAATTTTACCTTGACTTCCGTGTGGACCACCACTGCTTGATGACAACTGTATTTTAAAAGAAGAGCAGTCTAGAACTCTGGCCATGTCTTTTGCAGTTTTACATTTGATATCTTCAAATTTCTGGGGGAAAAATTACACTACTGCTTTCGACAGTAATATAACCAATGGAAGATATTGTCTCTCTAACATGACTGTAAGTGTAGTTAAGCTTCTAATAAAAGTGTTTAGCCTCTCTGACATGACTGTAAGTATGAGCTGATAAAATATGTTTTTGGTGGTCTGGCTTTGAGTTTTACTTTTGTGGCTATTGATAGGGTACAAATTTTACTCGCACATACCTTTTTACACACCTTCTGCTTAAGATTTTCTGTAATGAAACCAAGCAACTAGAAGTTAGGGATAAATAGGTGTCATGCCAAACCAGTTACTTTTCAGCTCTCACCTCTCATTATTGTGTCTGATCTTTTTGCCTTATTGTAGATACCCAAACTTCTCTAAAATAAAAACAAAAACAAAATTCACTAGATTCAGAGCTTCAGAGCTTCTGGCTTACATATTAAACTACACTTTGACACAAAATCCCAGCCGTATATTTTTCTAAAGCCTTGGCACAGACTCTATGGCACTGTATGGCATTATCAATAAAAATAATTATCATCTGGTATAGAATAAGTGGAGCTCTATCCATACAAACATCTAAATTCACTTAAACATGTTAACGGTGCTCACAATTTCAGAGGCATGCATTTTCATACCTTTCATATAAACTTGAGTATTTACTTACAGTTATTCTGTTCTTTGAAATAATGGCAATGTTTGAGTCATTTTGCTGCTGTTTTCTGCCACTGGAATCCTAGGAAAAACTTGATTATAAGAATCACCGAAAAGAATTGAGAAAATAAAATGATGGTGCAGGTACAGTCATTACAATTTGCAAATAAGATAATTCTAGAGCTGTAGATTAATTCTTATGGCTGCATTATCATGCATTTTTGATGCACAAATGGCATTTTAAGGTGTCAATATAATAGACATGAGTTTCTCCAAATTACCAGATGTCTTCTAATAATTTGTCAGCTTAGCCTCACCCAAGTCGAGTTGAAAATTCCTTCTGCATAATTTAAAAGTATAATATCTAGTCTGCCTAACTAAACTAACTAATAAATAATATAGTATTAAAAGAATAAAAACCTTTTATATTACTAAAGCTGCTTTTCAAGGATGCTGTGTCTGATTCAAAGCTGTAGTGATGCAGTTTACCTTAAAGAAACTGTAAATTGGAGTTCATAAAAAAAGGCTGTCCCACAACATAGCACCTCTGTGGGAAAAACTTTTCTTTAACCCTTTGAGCCCCAATTACGCATATATGTGTAATTAATGGTCGTGCTCTTTGTACCACTTGTGACATCATCAGTTTAAATGTTATCAGATATTCTTGATAATTAAGCAGATACTGGTACTAGGCTAGGCCTTTCTATACAATGGTCAGGTTTAGATATCGATGACATCCCAACATTGCAAATCGAAAAACGTTATCAGTTTTGGTGCAAAAACAGTGGTAAAATGGTCCACTACACCTATGATAGATCAAGGTCCATTTCTAGGCTTTGCCTGTAATTAACATCCAACTTTTCACGGCAGCCAGAAAGAACATGCAATGCAAAAGGTAGCCAGCGTAAAAGGGCCAAGAAAAAAAGAAAGGAAAGGGGCAACAAACAAAATTGAGAATGGTTAATGGCAAAAAACAAAACAAAACAAAACAAAACAAAAAACAAAAAAAGAAGTCCAAATTTTGGCTTATACAAATGCCTGGAATTGAAATATTGCTTAAAAAATCAAATGTTAAAATGTTAAATGTTAAAAACCAAAAAATCTCTCCTTTTGGTAAAAAAAAGCTTTCTTAGCAAAACTTAGGTTTATTAAGAATCATGGCAGCCAAAAAACCTGACTAAACGGTTAAGAACGGAATTTTTTGGTAAAAATTTGGAATTCAAAGGGTTAAATAATTGGGGCGGGGTTGCGGGAGAGCCAATTTATTCTCAGAATTCCTCAGTCCATACGAAGTAATATCATTTCAAGATATGAATCAAGACTGGAGATATTCAGGGTCAATTGATGTAGATCTACAGGATGCAAACCCTCAGACTGGCCCCTCCCCTTACAGACTTGCAGCAAATAAGTCCACAAAATTTCAGATATCTTCACACAGACTGCCTTAAACTAAATGGCTTTGCTTGGCTAGCTTGCTCTGGCTAGCTTGCTCTGGCTAGCCTGCATGTATTATAAGATGAGTCTTGATTTGATTTTGTACCTACCACTCCACTGTGATGATCTTGTTTATGTCTGGAGTGCTTATGTTTACTAGAACTTGTGCCACTTCTGGAAGCAGAATGCCTTTTTGTATCATGTGCACTTGTCATCTGCTGATTGATAATGAAAAACAAACATCATAGAAACAACTCAACAAATTAAATAGTGTGAGACTTTTCTTTTCTTGCATTGGTTCGAATTAACGTATTTTTCAAAATTGCGTAACACAAGGCTCTATAACAGCTCAAAGCTTTCAGCTGGGCATGAAAACTGAGTAGGCATATAAATGATAAGACCGAATTTTTCGACGTTAGCAGGATACCTTGAATCATGAAGCACGTGGCAGCAAGCAACAGTGCACTGCACAGCACAATAGTCCTGTCAGTACATGTACCATTACGTTGGATCATGCAGAGATTGATCAAGTCGGCTTAGCTGAAGACGTACACATTTACTAAACTTGAATTAAGCTTAGCTTTCTAGCTGGCGTTGGCTGGAAAAATTAGAAAACAAGTTTTTTTTTTTTAAGGCAATACAGCATCTAGTTATGCTAAACAAATATGAGATATAAGCTTAACCTTAGTATTATGCTCAAACTTGTGCCTACAACTGATCTTCTCAGATGTAAGCTTACCTTTTTATGTGATTCTTTTTTCCTTCTTTCGGTGGATTCTTTCACCAACTTTTCTTCAATTCCCTTTGTCTTTGTAGTCTTCCTATGTTTCTCAGTGTCGTTTTCTAATCCGTGATCACATTCCTTGTCTTCTTCACTATCAGAAAAGGGATCACGGGGAAGCGACTTTCGAAATAATTCTCCTTTTTCTTCATCCATTATGAAAACAAAATACGAACTTAGCTTAGTTAGGACGAAAAATATTTCATAGCATATATTGTAAATGAAAAGCAATCGCCATGCAAGTTAAGACAGTATATTGTGAGAAATTTAAATGAAGGTAGTCTTGTAAGCTTTATGCAAAGTAAAATAAACTAAATTCAAGGTTTAGGCTTGAACTGACACTTCGCTTGACCTTACCATGTCGGCGTTTCATGCGCATTTTGAGGAACAATTTTCAGTAGGATGTGGTCTTCCACGTGAAAATAGTTCCATTATTCTCTACAAACGATATTAAATTACTTAGGCAGTTAAAATCGGGGCTATCTTTTTTTCAGATTGCCAGAAAGATGTGAAAGATGTGACGGCACCAAACACCTCAGTAGGCATTCATAGAGTCGTCGTATTACCGCCATCTTGCGAGTTCGCGCGCTTTTCCCGTACGCCTTTTCCCCGCGTCGCGTTTGTTTTTTCCCGCCTAGTGAGCGGTTACGTGAAAAAACAGGAACGGGCAGAAGATAACTGGAACACGCCATGGAGATTACTGGAGTTCGATTTGCAAGAAAGAAAAAAGCACTATGATCAACCTTCTCTACGAACAATTTTCCAGGTTTGAATTGACAAGATCTACCAATTCTTTTGCTGTTTTCACGGTTATTATAACAAATTGTAACATAGGCACGCAAGGCGTGCAAGAGTTACTTTTTGGGTCAGGTATCAGAGATAGAAGCATTCATGGTACAGTAATGATTTGGTTAATTTGACAAGTTTTTTCGGTTGCGATGTTACATTGATCATGGTAAGATAGCTAAATAGTAAGCCATAAAATGTTTGATTGAACAAACTACAGTGATCAGACACGTCTCCAGAATAATGTAGATACCATCTTATTTTCTAACAGGCAATTTGATTCGTTCTTTGATACAACCCGCACTGTGATTGGTGTGACACGAGCACATGCATAACTCCCTCACTTACTGATCACATAACCCTTCCAACCCCCAAGAGGAATTTTTGCTCAAAAATACTCAAGTTAATTTAGACTTTTTCACATTTTATACGAGTCGAAAGTTTACCTTTTTACACAACACAACACAACTTCACCGAAAATAGAAAGAGAAAAAAAACCTCTGACACTTTGAAAGTCTGATTTAATTAAATTGCACTTTAGCTTGGGGCCGTGCAGTCTTCAAAGAACATTTAAATAGTTTTCATACGTTTTACCTTTAAAAATATCGGACTGAAATGAATGTCATCAAATAAAACTATTAAACTGCTACTGCAGAGACGT